TATTTGAGTTTGTACAAATAATCTTTTCCTTGTGCAAAACAATCTTGTCATGTGTTATCGACATTCCTATATTTTACTTTTGTTTACCTATTTGCATAATATATTTGCGCATAAGCTATAAGGCTAATTAATTACGATTTTAAATCTAATGGATTTGAGTTCAAAATAGTTTTAAGAGGCAACATTAGTGTCTTATATATGAATGCATTGCACCTACGACATCCCCAGATAACATTCTACGTCAGAAATACGCAAATTTAACGGGTAATCGCATTTTTTTTTTTTTTTTCGACAAAATTATGATCTATCGCTTGATTAATGCATATAATACGCACGCGTGACACGAACATCATGTATCATACACAATGAACATATCCTTGCGTAAGTGTGCATGCAAGTTTTATAGCGGCGTCGATCACGATCTTGCGTATTTCTATCTCGTAGTATCCGAGACTCAGAACTTTATTATTCATGAGTTAACGAAATGCTATCTGGGATCTTTTTGTAGGTCATTAGATATCGTAGCAACGAATTAAGTTGCACTTTGCATCCTCAACGGCTGTGATTGGATTCAGATCTGACAAATGGGTCTTAATCGTAAAAAGTAATCGTTGCAAAGTTCAGCGAAAAAGGTGGGGCAGAATTTCTCATAAATGTTTGCATATAAATTGCAATTTTCCATTTATGGCAGCAATTTATTCTGTTATTTTTTATTCTTGCTGGAATTGGGAAATATAATTTTTGCTGTAAATTCAGAAGAGATGTAATTTTAATCATTACTTTCCGCTATGTTTTGCAGCAGAGATTATTGTTTAGATATTAGGCAGAAATATTCAATAGCAAATTACAAAACGCATCGCATGTATTTTAATATCAGGATTGTAACGAATAGTGTGTTTCATTGCAAAGTCTGGATAATCCTAGTTTATGTCGATAAATTTTGATCGAAGTTTGTTTTAAAAAAAGGTGCATGATCGAAAATGGTGCAACAAAACTTATACATTCTTCGCATTTATCGCATTTATAAAAGGCTCGAGCAACATCACTAATCTTATAAGAATTTCAACTTTTTATTTCAACATTTTTTTCTTGGTTGAACTATTGTATATAAATGATTTTATTTAAGCAAGTTTTCTTTGTTTAACGCAATAATATAATCACATTTCAAGATTTTCACGTTGAAAGTAGAGATATTTTCAAATCATGAATATTCTCTTTCTCTGTAACAAATATCGCAGTGTAAAAAATGTAAAAGAAGTTATAAATGATGTACAATTATCATTTATATGTTTCCCATTTTTTTGCTAATATGCTTTGTTTTTCTTCCGTAACATGTTTGCACATTTCTTTCTCTATCATTTATAACTTCCTTTACATTTTGTATACAACTGCGCTATTTGTTGGTTTGTTAAAAGTTTATTTTGACTGTAAACTATTTTAATAAAATTTTCAAATCCCAGTGTTATAGTAAACTGCATAGTCATCTGTTAGTCGTCTAGTTGTATTTTCCATTTCAGGAAAGTAAAACGAAAGTTTGTTATGACATATTGAAACGATTATAAAATATACTTTAAAATAACGTACGACGCTTTATCACTCACTGTGCTATATTCTTCGTGAGCAGCAAGGTATAAAATTATGAAAATTGATCTCACGCAGAAAACAGCATGAAATGCTAGACGGAAAACAAGGCAATGAATAATGAAACATTATTTTAGAGTACACGCACTTTTTTTATGCTATGACAGAATTTTATCTGATATAAACTAGGACTTATATGTGCACGTTAAATCTGCAATTGTCAGTTCAATATAGTGATCGGTTATTACTTTTAATACGTATTTAAATATACGTGTATAGGAATTAAATGGAAGTGATTGATGATATAGGATGAACAGGATAATAATAATTATGCGACGTGAATGATTACATAGTTTTCCAAATAAATATGTTAATATAACTACTTTTAGTCATGTAGAGAGAATCCTAAGGTCATTGCCTCACTGTGCCAGTATTATCAATGCAATTCTGCCGTAGTGACACACTGCCCGCGTTGGTCCAGTTTTGCATAGAGAACTTATTTAATATGGTTTAGCATAATGCAAGAAGAAACCAAAAACCTTTAATTTTAGTGTTATATGTAGGTAATCGCGTTAGCAAAATATTAAGTATTATTTCGGATAGATATTATTCTCGTAAGAAAAGTTTCGTATTAGCGAAGGAAACAAGGACCTTTAGTTTAAGCGTATGTCGCACGCAATCGATTTTACAGTGACCGTTGAATACCTATTTTTCTTACGTCTTACGTTTTTCAGCTAATACACAACGAGCTGATATACTTACATTCAGAATTACTCACATTTAGATTATCGGAGCATTTAAAACGTTGCGTCCGAGGAGCAGCTTACATATTTGTTTATTTTTCTAAACGCGAGATGCATTCCATTTATCGCTCCTGTTTCGCGTGCTGCTTCTCGTTCCCGTAAAACAGATTGCGTGCGGCGACGAAGTGTTTGGCTCGCGTACGTTGGAGTCAATTTGTGATACCAGTCGTGTATTTGTGCCAAGCGCAATACGCACCAACAGCTCAACGAATTTTGCTTTGTCTTCTCGTTTTGTAATAGGTATGTTTTGTCGAGAGGATGACATAGTCAGGTTTTCAATAGTGACGGCGGAAAGGATTATATATAATATGCGCTATGTCGTGCGAATAAGTGTCGTATTGTCTATAGAGAGGATGTTTCAATGGTATGCTCACCAATATTACGTCTCTATTGGTTCTCCATTTATATATACAGAATATCCCATTAGATATATATTTTTTTCTCGAAAAATATATATTATGTACATATATGTGCACATATATATGTAACATGATATATACGTGTGTATATATATGTGTGTGTACATCTATGTATACTGGAGGATAGTCCGTATATGAAAAGACAACTATATAATATTGTAACATAATATAAACACGTATTGAAACATCCGCGGACAATATGATGCCTTTCCTTGCCATATATGTATCATTCGTACAATTATAAAACTTGCCGCTTACTGTAAATGCGCTGCAATTACGTTACAAAGTTTATATAAAGTCCATTCTAATTATCTTCTATCCGAAATATCGAGATTACTGTCTGACATAAGTTACAAGATAATTGTTCGCACTGTAAGAATTGTTTGTCTTAATTTATTATTCAATTGAAAATGTATTCACGAGATATTTGAACGATTATTCTTTCATTCTCTACTTCCTTGCGCCTTGTTCAACGGAAAGTGCGAAGAGACATTTGTCGGAAATGGATCTTGCGGTAACAGTTTGTTTATCATCCAATTTATTATGTTTTCCAATGCTTTCCAGTTATTAGTTGGATATTTCATTAATCAATAGTGAAACAATCTATAAAGATTTTTAATCTCAGCAGTATGCAAATAATTACAAAAGGTTCAAGAGTATAAATAGGTTTGAGCTTTAGAAGTACATATTTAAAACTAGCGAAAATAATCGTTTTCTTAAAAAGGATTGCACATAAGTAAACAAAAAAGAAATAGGAAAGTATGCGATTTTTTTTACATGTCGTGTATCTAATGACGCTTATTTAGAACAAAAGGATAGGAAAATGTAAAAAAAATGTATTATAGTCACACAACTTGTTGGAAAGATTTAAAAATCTGAATCCTCACTCGTAAGTTATCGTTTGCACAGAGAAATGTATTTACAAATTAAGCGTGATTTAAAGTTCAAGAACACTGCAATATTCTATAAGGAAATCGTATGTGACATAAAACAGGCAGTAATCTATTATAGTCTATAGCAATTCTCTCTATCACGTATGACACTCGAGGTAACATAAGCATTAAACTCGGCGTTACTATTATTGCGGTATTAGTTATCAGTATTAATATTTGTAGTGATTTAATGATGACATCGTCGATTATATTTGAAAAGAAGAACGAGAGGTGATTTTAACTATTAGATAGACAATTTTTAGATATTGAAAGACAAATGATGATATTTTATCGTTAAATACGCAATACGAAGATCGAGTCCAATTTTATAGTATACCTTATTGAGTAATGATAATCTTATTAGAGAGTAAGACTAGGTATTGGTAATTTTCTTTGATCTCCTCTTCCATCACATAACGTGAGTTTGCGAGTATCTTACGTATATAATTACATTTTATTATCGCACCGTGCAGTATGATACGGTATAGTACAGTATGATAGTACATTACAGTAATAGTTCACCCTCAAAAGAACAAAAAAAAAGTCCCAAAGTAAATATATAAACCACTCGAAGTAAGTTTTAGGAATATTAATCACTAGATTTAGTCAATTTTACTTCGATTACGATCCTTCATTATACGCTCAAGCATGTACTATGGTCAAGATCCTGAGCATAAATCAAGTATTATAACTGTCGAGTGTAATATGAATTTGTAGTCGGTTAGGTTTTAAGCTTGACTAGTGCCTCTAGATATAAGTATTTTAGAAGTTAAAAACAATCTAGTTGAACTTACAAAATAAATTTTTATTTACCAGATTCGTAGTGTTGTGTCATTACTTACTTCCATACCTCATTCTTGAAGTAATGATTTACTCCCAGTCATCGATTCTTCTAATTTTTAAGGCAGTACTAAGAGCAAATTTAATAACGGTAATGTAGATTTTTTATGTGATATTTATAATTGTTCTTTCCTTCTTATAGCGTTTACATAAGGAATCTATTCTAGTTTCGACTAAATAAAACACATGTCATATTCTTTAAACAACTTTATAATACATATTATGACGTAAAACATGATTTTATTTCTTTGAATCTATTTCGAAGCATTGAAACATAAGAAATATAGTATGTTTCCGCTTGCGATATATACGCGCGTGTATATATATAGCATATAAACATGCATTCAATTAGATATAATAAATAAATTTACATAAGTACAAATATTTTTAAATAGAATTCAAAATAAAATAATCGTAATGTACATATATATTTATAATTTATATATGTGTGAGTATATATACATACTTATACATGTAATAACTAGTTATTTATTAATTGTCAATTTGTTTTTGTTGATGCTCCATTTTTAGATGAAGTTTTGCTATCTCTTTACCTAATGTATCAATATTGTCCTGTAAAAATAACAAAATATTATTTTAAGCAACGATGAAATTGTAAAATTTTAGTAACGTTATCTAAAATATTGTAAAATAATAAATGACACTGATTAATTAATAAAATAATCATTTTTTGAAACAGAACAAGTAATTCCCTTAGTTTTAATCAGATGAAAACATCGCAGTACAAGAAATTGTAAGACATAATTCCGAGAGGTAAGAACAGGCTAGAGGTTTACTACTCCAAAAATTGCTCGTTTCAATATGCAACAGCTCATATACACATTTTGATATCACATTTTTAAATTATTTCGTTATTACTATAGTTTTTATTAAATATATTTACCTTTAAGGTGATGTTTTTTAGTAACGCGTCTTCAAGAACCGCTTGCAACTTTTGGTTTATTTCTAAAGAAAGTTCTAGAGTCATATTTTCATCCGAAACTCGATGATTGTAAACGGATGCCATTATACCTCCACGTCGTGCCAATTCTGCCTGCAAGTTTGTATATTTTATTTGGAATATATATAAATAAACAAATATAATACATATATGTACGTATGTATAAAAATTGACTAATAACTTTGTTTGACAATGCTTCTTAACATTATTTAGAGAATCTGTTTCCTGACACTTACTGTATCTCTTCTGCTTTTGATATGCTTGGATATAAAAAACGAAAATATCTATTATTACAAAGATTTTAATTTTGTGAATAAAGCGAATTTTGAAGAAATTAGTTTTATCACATCTCTACTCTACTCTATTCTATTCTGTATATAATAAGATAAAATATAATTAACTAAAAAAGTACTTTTATGTATACCTTGCATTTATCTCTTTCGTTACAAGTTAAAGCTCCAAAGTTCTGATGTAAAATGTAATTTTGTATTATTTTTTCTTTCTTTTGTATATCTTCGAGTAATATTTGTGTATGTCCTTTTAAAAAATCCAACTTTTCAGCCCTTTTTACATTTATATTTTGGAGTTTGATGATGCGATCCATTAGTACTTGTTTATTAAGATCTATGGAATTGATGTGATCACTACCGTTGTTATCTGATAAGGCACCGTTCGATGTATCACCTAAAAGAAAACATACACATTGTGATATGAAATTATAATAACTCGTTAACACATCAATGGGGTATCGAATCTATCGATATCAAACCTGCTAAGGAAGTATTAGATCCAGTCCTGGATGCATTATCCAATGAATTACTGGGAGATGTGACTTCAAACGTTTCTAATTTTTTACGACATTGTTGCAATTCCCGTGTCAGTTCTTTTATGGAAGCCTGATGTTTCCTCTTTAATACTGCATTTTCACCCTGACTGTCCTCCAACTTCTGGGCAAAGTTCTGCGCGAGTTGAGTTTGTTCAGCGACATGCTTAGCCAGAATCTCACACTCCTCTCTCCGTTTTTTCCGTTCTTGCATCAAATCTTCTTCTAAAGTTTTGATTCTACCGGTCAATTCGTTGATGCATTCACGTAGTGGACCTTGTTCGGACTCGAGATGATTCGTCTTTGTTTGAATCGCGATGAACTCCGATTGAAGACGTACGTTCGTGTCTGTTAATTTTTGCGTAAAGTCTAACATATTCGCTTCCTTCTGGCGGCAGGCCTGCATATCGGATAGCAATTCCTCGTTGCTCGATTGTAATTGCAGTAATTTTTCTTCGGTTGACACTATGTATTCTTCTTTACTGTAAAAACAAAACGAATATTTAGTAATTAAAATAATCATTAAAAAGGGTTAAAATTTAACATTATAAAATCTTCAAAGTTATGAAAATATAGTAACTAAAAAAATTTTAAACTCAAAATTTGTCCAAGAATCTGTAGATGATAGACAGCTTGAAAAAAGATTTGTGTTATTAATAATGCAATTATCATTTTTTATATATCTTTATAATATATATCTTTTTGATATTATATTTATAAAATATAATATTGAAACTATAGTATACGTACTGTTGCAATTGAAGTTTTAACGTTTCTAATTGGGAGACTTGGTTTAATAATTCGGTTATTTGTTGCTGACGTTGATCCGCAACGATCCTTAAATCACTCAAATCATTTTCATTATTTAATCGAACTTTCTGATACTCTTGTACTCTTAGGCTAAGCTTCTTATTTTCTTCAATTAAGTTTTGCTGCTTAGATTTTAGTGCTTCTAGCTCCTTTTGCAATTGAAGTCTCAGTGTTTCTTTATCTTCTGTAACGTGTCTTTCCAAGATCAAACGTGCCTGGTGCTCTTTCAACTGATGGTCCAACGTCACAGCTTTGTTCTCTTCAGATTGCTGAAATTTACGAAATGATTCTTGCGTCTCGCGGCGTATCTGCTCGCACTCTTCCTTCATATCATTTATTTTCATCTGCAACATACATTTAAATAATATTAATATTCCACTTGAATTTCTTTAATGGTGATTAGCAATGAAATGTTGGGACAATTACTAAGATCGCCAATAATCACGTGATATAATTAGATTGGATAACTTTTAAGAAAATTTATCTCATGCTAAAAATAGTCGTAAATAATTATAACAACCCACATATAGCAATCAAAAGGTAATAAAAAAATCTCTGTTTTAAATCCAAAACACAATTTTCGAACTACCTTTTGCACGATTTAAACTATGTAAGAAATAAAATTGTATCGTATTTTACTTTACCAAAGCTTTATCCAACTTCTGCTGAGTATCCTTCTGCGACTCCATTTCGGTTTTAAGCTTAGTTTGCGTCCACTTTAGTTTAATCTCTTTCAATTTAACATCCTCTTTCAAATTCTCTACCTCCTTTTGAAGATCGGTTACTTCACGACATTTTCCGTCCAAAATGTTACATATTCTTGTGCGCTCGCCCTGCGCTTGGCGCAACTTGCCTTGCAGTAATTCCTGATCCTTTAGAAGTTCCTTAACTTTACGTTCCGTGGAATCCCTCACTCTGTGTGTTGCATACATCGAGAATTAAACGAAGCAATTGTAGGTGTAATTTAATATTTAATTAAATATTGGTTTATCACGGATAACAGCTGGTCAGTAATTGGCCGCTTATAATACGCCCGATCTCCGGTTTCCGTGCTCTAAATCTTTTTCAGGCATGACCGACAAAAGTAACAACATACAAAAGTACGGGAATGTTTTGAAGACACTTTCTCTTTTCTTTTATTAATTAGTTTCAGATACATATGGCGTTTTTTTTGAATTATTCTTTTGTCTCAATACTAGATTTTACATTTGTCGATCCTGCCTGAAAAAGATTTAGAGCACGGAAACCGGAGATCGGGCGTATTATAAGCGGCCAATTACTGACCAGCTGTTAGCCGTGATAAACCAATATTTAATTAAATATGAAAAGTATCAAAGCTAAATTATTCTTTTTACAAATACCTTTGTATATCAATCAGTTGTTTTTCGCTGGTTACATATCTCATGACCATGTCTTCCTTCTCCTTATTAACCGCGGCACATTCCTTCTTCAGAGCTTCTTGCGTGTCCAGCGATGTGCTCAAGTCGGCCGTTAATTTATTGACAGTTTTCTCCAAATTCTCCACTTGTAAGATAAGCGCGTCCGTACTCGTCTCGGTTTCTCGAAGCGAGCTATTCGATTGATTTAACTTCTTTAAATATTCCATTTTCTTCAGTTTTGAATGCTCGAATTTTAAACTGGTATAATCCTTTAATAAGGCAAGATATAACGGATGTTCTAAAGAGCCGTATTTTAAAATATTTGAATCTGCCAATGCACTGAAATCAGACGAGTCTTCTTTATACGGAACATCATACAACTCGTCCGTCTGCAAAAAACTTTTATTTTCATCCGCCTCTGCCGACGACACGTCGCGTTTTACTCGTTCATCGATCACGTCGCAATCTAATCTGTCATTGTTTTTAAGTACGTGATACTTCTTCTCGTCTGATATTTCATTCTCAAGTTTATTATGTAACAGCTGTTCTTCAGGATCATCGTACGTTTTGTTTTCTTGCGTACAAGCAAATGGATTTGCCTCTTTCTCGTTTTTCATCACGCTATCCAAGTTATCCTCGCTCTTGTCGTGATTTTGTTTTACCGTACAATCCATCGTACTAGTCCGACTTGTCGCTGAATCTGTATCTAATCCAGACGTTACGTTAGTCGAAGGATATGCGCTATCGGTACAAAATCCCGCGGCATCGGTTTCGATAGATTTCGACATGTGATTGTACTTCAACGCCAAATTCTGCGGTAGTAAAGCCTTTTCCATGATGTTCGTCGACTTTTCCGTGATGAAATTCAAAAAGTTACGGCTCTTGTTTAAAAGCTGAACGTTCGACTGCATTATGTTCATTGGATTCGTCAGGAGAGACATTTTTACAAGTTTACTATCATCGGCTAACGTTGGCCGGGATATTAAACCTCGCGCATTTATACTTAGTGTCGGAGTTGAACTCGGTCCATTTTTCTTGCACACATCTACCTCGGTTTGATTTCGCTCATTCGCAGTCTCGTTATCGTTTACCCGTAATCGTGAATCTATCGTTTCTCTGCAAAATTGTTTCGTTTCGGATACGTCACCTTCTGCAATCCGTTCTTTAAGGTAATTTTTCTCGCATTCATCTTCCATTCGATCACTCTGACACGCTTTAACAGTCTTTTCATTTATGGAACACTGTGAATCAGATAAAGGATTTTTCATCTCGTTCAAACGATTGAACAATGTCTCTTCCTCGTCGGCGCAAGCTGTCGCTACATTTCTCCGTGTAAGTACATTCTTTTCAAACGCGCTAACTTGATTGCTAACTAAGTATGAATCCAAAGATGCTATCGCAGGTAACGAAGCACTCGTGCAGCGGGAATGGCGAAGAGATTCATCGTCGTATGAAAGGCGACTCTCGCTACTGGACAACTGGCAAGCTTGAAGTTTTGTATTGGGAACGTCGGCGACAGACTTATCCTCCTCGAAAGTGATGGGTAGGCTTATGTTGTCCGTCGAACAATTTGATCTTATCTCCCTACCATTCCTCCTTGATAACGCCGAGTCGCTTTTGCTTTCAAACATGTTGCTCTCACAACGGTCACTTCGTACTTGCGAAATATTATCCTGCATTGTCATTCCTGGTGCAAAAATACATTGTCATCATTATCTTCAGAAATTAATAACTACTTAGAAGGCATCGAATAAGCTAGGGTACGTGTTGTTCACAATCTAATTCCGTGTTAGAACTTTGCATTAATTTGCTGTATAAAACGCCAGGGAACTGATTATTTTTTAAATTATTGCTTATTATACACAAACAAATTTCATGAAAAAAATCAATATGCACGCACATATGCACGCCGAAACGGGGTCCGTCTCCCCGTTCCTCGGGCAAGGGATTTGTACCTTTGACCAGACGGGTGTCGTGCCTCGTGGGTGAGTCGACCCGGTCGTGTTCCACGGCGGCGAAATCCGTCTCGTCCCCAAAAGGCTCCAGACTCTCGCCCATGCCGATCGAAGCACAGACGTATGTACGTCTGTTAGGTGCTGTTAGGTCAGCCGTGTCTCACGAGTCACAACTTCGTCGTGTTCGCGAATGTTCGCGCGGGCCTGCCGAGCCCCAGCATTACGGGCAGACGGGTCGCGAGACGCATCCGAGATTCTCTATAAAATTGAAAAAAAGCGTATACTCACGCGCGAGGAACCGCCCGCTAACCCCCGATCATGCAACTATCAATAGTAACGCACAACTGTCAATAGTGGCAGTGGCCAATAGTCGTCACTCGTCACCGCCGTCAGTCCCTGTGGTGGCGACTGCAGTGTTGTCAGGTGAGTCGCTCTTTCCGCGCATGCGCGTCAAGTACAGCATCGCGATGGTATTTAAATTCAAATTAATTTATGCAGATCCTGTAGGAGCCCTATTTTGATCGCTCCTATAAAGACAAAGTTGTACGCAATAGATATACATAAAAAAGCCACGTGTCAAGGATAATTCTACGTTTATAGAAAAAATGCAGTAATATAATGCGACCTGGGACTCGCGCGTGCGTACTGCGCCGTTCCGAGGCACGTCAAGAGCTAACCACGTGACCGATAAACTCGGGTTTTGTTTTGGTGGTCGAGCCTTCTTCGCCTCCTTGTTCATCATTCCTTCTTTTCTCTCCAACGCCTGATTATATATACATATAAATATTATATCTTGTTATAAGTGCAGAAAGTATTACATTTTAAATATGTTCTTTGCACTTGAGCTGAACTCTTAGCACTTTTCATCTTCTTTCCTTTTCTCTGCTTCTCACTCCAGTCTCCACGTGTTGTGTATGTATGTACAGTGTGTACACAAGTACACACACACAGTCGTCGAGACTATGCAGTCGAGGCAGACGAGACGTCGATCACTTGGATCACTGGTTGATACCAGTTGATACCGGTTTACGCAGTTGACCTCACGGAAATATCAATTAAACGGTCCGCAAGTCAACGTTATGAGTTTACGCTGGAAAATATTTCACGGAATTAGACAGAGGTATCTATATTGGCTTGACTCTTTAAAAAATACAACATTAGCTATTCCAAGCAGTGTTATGTTTTATACAACATATTTTTGTGTGTATAATTCTTATGTAAATTAATATGGCGACTTTATGCTAGATGCTCATTGATTTAGTGGCCTTATGCTACGCTTATGCTAAGCTATGCATTTTGTGTGCGATGGACTATAACACCTGCCAGCAGTCTTCCACGGAGAAGCAGCATGGGTCCTCCAAGAATACTCAAGATCCTGCTACGTTGTACGCAACGTGTGTTGCTGTTGCCGCCTTAGGTATATCTTATTACATCACTTGCAAATACAAAAGAAACGATTCAAATACAAAAGAGCTAAAGACTGCAGCTACGTACAAGATGGTCAGGCAGACTGGGCCCACGCACGCTCCAATATTCACGATCGCGGTACAA